CAAGCCCCCGAGGCCCGGTCCGGGTCCCAGCCCAGAGACGGAGCGCCCCCAGAACCTCACGCCCATCCCGGACCCACCCAGGGGCAGCCAGGCTACCAGGTCAGTAACCCACGTCCGTCAGCACAGACCCTCCCCTAGCCCCGCTGCACGCAGCCGCGAGGAAACAGTCACCTGAGAGCCAACAGAGCCCCTAAGCGGACATGACCGCTACCCCGGGTTGAGCCCCCCAAGGAAGATGCCTCCGGGGAACCCCCCGACGCCCTAAGCCTGTCCCTACCCCCACACCAATCACAACAGTGAAGGCGGGACCAGACTATGACCCCCCACCCCCACTAGGTGATGGAGCTGATCAAAGGAGCCCAGAGCAATTGATCTGATGTGGTGGCAGAGGCTGTATCAAGACTAATGTAATCTAATAGATAATTTCTATATTGGTTAGAATTAAGATTATTTTTATTTTTCCAGTTCATGAGGACTGTTTTCTTGGCTATGCATAGGGCAGTGAAAACCATATGGGAGATATTCTTTTCTGAAGTGACATTATCTAAACTGCCCAACAAACACACTAAGGGGGAAGTTGGAATGTTACATTTCAGACACTTCGATAAGTCTTCACATATCTCGCGCCAAAACTTCTGAACTGGTGGACAGAACCAAAGAGCGTGGATATAATTGTCCAGTGAATTGGTTTGGCAGTGTGAGCAGTTGTTGGTAGACGTAAAGCCCATCTTGAACATCCGATGACCTGTATAGTGCACTCTATGTAATATTTTGTATTGAATTAATTGAAGACTGGGATTTCTAATTAGATTAAAGGTTTTTAAGCAAATCTGAGACCAGAAGTTTAGGTCTAAGTTAACTGATAAATCCGCTTCCCATTTTGCAATAGGAAGTGATATTGATTCATCTGTTTTAGAAAGCATTCTGTATATTTTGGATAGTAATTTGGGGGTTTTAAGAGTAAGAAATTGAACCACACTTGGTGGTGTTTGTAGTTCAACTTGACCCGGTTTAAATTTCTTTTTTACTATGGATTTAATTTGTTGATATTCTAAAAATCTTTTCTTGTTGATCCCATATTGTGTAACTAGTCTGTCAAATGAAATAAATTCTGTTCCTTCTAGTATATGTTCTAAATATTTGATTCCTTTACCACTCCAATCTGAAAAGTTTATCATATTATTGTTTTGTAATATGTCAGGGTTGTTCCAGATAGGTGTACGTTTGCATGGGATTAATGAAGACGCCGTCAATTTTAGAAACTCCCACCATGCTGTCAGAGAAGAGCTGATGTTGATGCTTTTAAAGCATTCATGTCGTTGGATGTTTGAGCTGATAAATGGTAGGTCTGAGATCTCTAGATTATTGCAGAGTGCTTGTTCTACATCTAGCCAAGGTTCATCTAAGAGGGTATGTTTTAGCCATCCTGAGATAAACTGAAGCCTGTTGGCTAAGAAGTAGTGCTGAAAGTTAGGCAGTTCTAGTCCTCCTTTATCCTTGGTCTTTTGTAGTGTTTTTAAGCTTATACGTGGGGGTTTATTTTTCCAAAGGAATTTGGACATACATGAATCTAGAGATCTGAACCAATCTTGTGGCGGTTTAGTTGGGATCATTGAGAATAAATAATTTATTTTTGGTAAGACCATCATTTTTATAGCGGCAACCCTTCCCATGAGTGATATGGGTAGACATTTCCATCTAGCCAGATCATCTTCTACCTTCTTTAAAAGTGGGATATGGTTTAATTTAGTTAGATCTGCAAGCTTGGGAGAAACATTAATACCTAAATATTTTATATTTCCCGATTGCAGTGGTGTAGAAGAGGAATTATGGAGGGAGCAATTAATCGGTAGAACTGTAGATTTTGACCAGTTAATTGAGTAATCTGATATTCTTGCAAAAGAGTTTATCAATTCAATCACCCCAGAGATATTGGTTTGTGAATTTTGGAGAAAGAGTAACACATCATCCGCATAAAGGCTGATTTTATGTTCCACGTTCTTGCATTTTATGCCCTTAATTACTGAATTCTGTCTAATTGCTGCTGCTAGTGGTTCAATAAAAATTGCAAACAGTGAAGGGGAGAGTGGGCATCCCTGCCTGGTGCCCCTCAAGAGACAGAAGCTGGAGGATGTCTGGTCATTTGTTCTAACACAAGCTGTTGGGGAATTATATAATATTTTTAACCAGTTTATGAAAGAGGATCCAAAACCAAATTTGTGTAAAGTTGCAAATAGAAATTTCCAGTTAACTCTGTCGAATGCTTTTTCTGCGTCTAAAGAGAATATTGTAGTTTCTAGGTTTTTACTGTATGAGTAGTCTATCAAATTAAGTAATCTACGTGTATTTGTTGATGAGTGCCTACCTTTTATGAAACCAGTTTGGTCAGGATGAATTAAGAGGGGGGTTATTTTCTCCAGTCTCTTTGAGAGAGCTTTGCAGATTATTTTAAGGTCTACGTTTATAAGGGATATTGGACGATAGCTTGAGGGATATACAGGGTCTTTGCCTGGTTTTAGCAGGAGATTAATGTTTGCAGAATTCATATTTGACGGAAGTCTGCCCTTTTCTTTAATTTCCAACAACGTTCTGTAGAAAACTGGTGCTAGAATCGACCAGAATTCTTTGTAGAATTTTTTTTTTTTTTTTTTTTTTTTTTTTTTTTTTCTTTTTTCTTCTCTTCCTTTTTCTTTTAAAAAAGTGTTATTTTGAACTCGCTGGACTAAACTGTGTCTGTTCTCCCAGAAGGCTGTTGGATGGATCAGTGAGTCAGTAGGATAAATCTGGGCAGATACATTGAAAGAGCCCCAGATGCTTTAGCGGAGCTGCTCAGTGTCAAACAGATCACCCTGCAGTTATACTGAGGAACTTTCAGGTGTGAGTGTGAGAGCAAGGCATTCCTGGCAGAAGAGAGCTCTGCTGGAAATTCTTCTTTGTAGAATTCTGCAGGAAAGCCGTCTGGACCTGGAGCCTTATTATTGGGCATACTTATCAGGGCTTCTTGGAGTTCACCTGGTGTCAGTGGTGAATCCAGTGCCATTGCTTGAGTGTCCAATAATTTTGGAAGAGTTATGTTGTCCAAAAACTGATCAATTTCTTTTTTAGATGGGTTTATTTGTGGTGAATACAACGTTTTATAGAAATCCCTGAAAATGTTGTTTATTTGTATCGGATCATATATTGTGTTCCCAGATGAATCTTGAACAGCACATATAGTTGTTTTTTCTTTATTTATTTTTAGCTGGTTTGCTAGAAATTGACCGGATTTATTACCATGTTCATAATTTTGTAGGCGTAGTCTTTGTACTAAGAATTTTGTTTTTTTATCAATTATCTCATTTAATTCTAGTTTTGTTTTGCGTATTTTGTTCAATGTTTCCTGATCTTGGTGGGACGCGTAGGCTTCTTCTAGTGATTTGATGTTTTTTTCTAATTCCTGAATATTTAACGAGGTTAGTCATTAATGTATTGCTGCATGGGCTGGGCTGTAATTGCATCGTAAGGTTTTAAAAACTGAGCTTTAAAATGAATAGTGATAATAAAAACTGAGAGAGGCCGACAGTGATCACTGACTTTTTTTAGGGGCTTGTTCAGATTAAATAGAAAAAGATACAAAGCATTAAGACACAACAGCTTTAATAAACACAGAGTAGTTTGGACCTGGAAGCAGGGTTCATATGTCATCACTTAAAGACCGGATATCCCACCTGCTTTGATGTCTTAATGCAGTACAGTTGTTATTATATCACTTGTCGCATCCTGTTTATGACAGTTAAAATAAATAACATTCATATAAGAAATAAAATTGTCCTGTGTAAACTGTAAATGGTGTTAAATAGGCCTATACTACTGTACTTTAATGTCGGGCATAAGGGTGGTACTTTAAGAACCATATATTTTATACGGTGGTACTCATTGTGAAAAGTTTGAGAACCACTGACCTAAAGGATTAATTATTAGAATCTCGGCTTCAGATAGGGTGTCAACCATTATAACCTTGTTGGATAGATCAACAAATGAAGCTGGGTTCATTTAAAGATCTAACTAGGCCTGTTGTCTTATTGGTCCTCTTTCCCAAGATTGAAAGAACTTTCTAAAATCTTTTGAAAAAAGATTCTGAATTCTAATAAGGATTTTCTAAATATTATATAGAAAATCATTTCACTAAAAACACAATAAAAATTGTATTGAAGAATCAGGCAAGTTACAGAATCAAGTGTTGTTTATTTTGTCTACACTTTCCAGGTCTATACTACCGTAGCAAAGGGTGTCATGGTCCTGAGTCTGCCGACTCAGTGTTTTATGTTTCTTTATGCTTTTGTTCATTTATACATATTCTGTTACGAATTGCCATTTGTTAGGTTTCTGTTCTGTGCTTTCCCTGGTTCCACTTCTGTGTTCTGTCTGTCTATGGTGTCACACTGTCTGTGTGTGAATCTGTCTGTTTAGTTCAGCGTCTTGTCCAGTTCTGTGTCTGTGAGTTTCCTGTTTTATTCTGAAGGTCTCTATCTCATGTGAGTGTGTTCAGTTTACGTTTCCCCTGTCCCGTCAGCTTTGATGTTCTCCTGCCTGTTGCCGGTTCGTCACTGCCTCTCCCCCATTCTGGAACCCTCTCAGGTTTGTCATTTAGCTTTCCCAGTGTAGGTCTTTAGTTTTGTCTTCCCTCTTTGCCTGTTTTGCCATCTCACCACTGTGTAAATAAAACATCACTAGCATTATCATCTACTGCCTGCGTTTTGGGTCCTTTCTCCCTTCTACACCACACGGCTCGCCTCGGCAGCCGTGACAAAGGGTTTATATATGACATATAAATATATATATATATATATATATGTATGTGTACATGATATACCCCAATGAAGATAATTAGATGGCATGAGTTTTATATTTAATTTGTCAATTTACAATTAACTGTGTAATTAATTTAAATAATGTTTCAAACAATTGGGTTCTTATATAATTCGAAATTTACCAAAAGAAAAATATTGCAGTGATGTGAATGGTTTTGGAAAAAGATTTATTTAGGGATCAAATTTATGTTAAACATGCATTTTTCTTTCATTTAAATATGAATATATATGGAGTCACAGTTTTCAAATATTCTTGTTAGTTTTGATTTTACTGTATTCTTTGTGCTTCTGTATTCTAACACAAGACAACAGAATAAATATGTTGAAAGAAGATTAATTAGAAATCAGCATAAAAATGTAATTAGAAATGTTAAGATTATCTGTTAAACTTTAATATTTTGCATTTGTGAAAAAAATAACATGTTAAAGGAATACTTTTACATTACATAACTAGTTGTTTAAAAATTAGATGATTGACATCAGACTGGTACTCTTACGTTGTTAGGTTAATATGATTAACGGGAAAAACACATTTTCCAAATACACACATATTAATATAACTAAAAAGTAAAACAAAAGGTAAATGGACTGATTTTTATGTAGCACTTTTCTTGCCTCTCATTTTTTCTTTGGACATCCTTGCTTGCAGTAGGCACAATAACGGGAGCAACAGCGATAACAGGAAAGTCTGAGCTGACTGAGGAGTCCAGGAGATCTCTCTGGTGCTGCTTCAGATTCTTCTACCTTTATTTGCTCTTGATAGATATTTGGAGAATCTAGTTGAACTGTTTGATTAGCTTTGTTGCTAGTTGTCAGTGTCTTAGACGCTTTGTTTTGTATGTAGAATTTCTCAATCTCACTAAGCATGCGGACCTTAAGTTGTTGGAGCTCGGTATATTTTTCATCAAGTGATTTGTGTTCTCCATCCCTGCCACTTACAGATAAAAACGTATTACTTTGCCCATGTTCCAACATTTTTCTTGTTTTCTCAACTGATGTCTTTTCTTTCTGAAATATTGATCTCCTAACAAAATGATTGATCACCTTTACTCTTTTATCCATATTGTTTCTCATTTTTTGACCTCTGAGCTTCATCTGATTTATTTCATTTCGTTCTATTCTAGTGTCCTTCCAGATTTGTTTCAAAAACTCAGTTTTTAAAATTCCCTTCTGTGTGAAGTCATCTTCCTCTGCTGACAAGATGGACAACGTTGCAAGATTTGTTTTCTTGACATTTCCAAATTCTTCACCTTCTCCTACTAACAGCAGACCTTCCTTGTCAGGTGTCAAGTATCTTTTGCTTCCTTCAAGATTAACTGCAACATCCTTCATCCTCTGCTTAAATTCATGTTCATTGGTCTCTTCATCCTGATGCTCATGTAAGCATTGTTTTACAACATCCTCAGTTTGGATTGCTTTGTCAAACGTTGTCTTAAACAGATGTTTCTTTTGTTGTTGTATCTTGTCATAATCTGCAGTAATTTTAATTTTCTGCTTATAAATTCTGACACAATTTTGTTCATATGTGGAGATCACTTGTAATATTTTTTCATTTTCCCCCTCTACTCTCTTAATATATGTCGGCAAGTCTTGATGAATCAGTCTATTTAGTTTTCCTATAAGGTTTCTTGTAGAGATTGTAACACTACTGAGGATGTCCTCTCTGGGTTGTACATCAGACAGTTCACCTTTCAGGGATTTCCTCGCAATTAGTTTCACTTTCAGAATCTCTAGTGATTTCATTTCATCCATGACTTGGTCTCCCCTCATTTCCATCCCAGACTGCTGTTCTTCCACATTTCTCCTTTCCTTCAACAACAGTTCTTGTTCTTTGGCAATGTCAGTCTTCATCTCTTTCATCTCTTCTTTTTCTTCACTCATGATTCCCTTTGCACGTTCAAGCTCTTCTTGCTTCTTCTTCAGATTCCTCATCAGACTCTCCACTTTTGCTCTTTCACTCTGTAATTCCTTTTTCATGATTTCCACTTCTTTTGTTTGTCTTCTGAGGTCATCTTCCTTGACTTTTTCTTCATTATGTGTTAAGAAAATCTTGCTTAAAATGTCTTCAAGTCTTTCTTTTTCCGTTTGAACCTGAAGAATACAATTTTTAATCTTGGCTTTTTCTTCATTTGTCTCATGTAACAGCCTGTTTACATGTTCCATCTTATTGAGCAGTTCAAGCTTTATGATTTCCATTGAGTCTCGTTCTTCTTTTATATTTTGTTTCTTTTCTTCCAATATTTCAAATTGTTTCATGATGTCAGACATCAACACCTTCAAATCCATTTTCTCTTTATTCAGCACCTCACTTTCTCTCTCCAGATCTTCTCTGTCGTGTCTCAGATCTTCTTTCACTTTATCAAGTTCTCGTTTGTCCAGTTCAAACTGCTTCTTCCATTCATTTTCTGTGCATTCTCTCTTGGTGACCATGTCTGAAAGGATACTTCTCACACCTTCCTTTTCTCTCTCTAACATTTCAGTGAAACAGCGAATGCTTTCTTTCAGTTCGTCTTGGGTTGGAAGTTTTTCTTCCAACACTGTTTGCAGCCTTGACCTGTTGTCAACATTTTGTAGTAATCTCTCCATTTTGGCTTTTATATCCTCCTTCAGTTGTTGAAGTTTCACTTTCAGAATCTCTAGCAATTTCATTTCATCCATGACTTGGTCTCCTCTCATTTCCATCTCAGACCGCTCTTCTTCCATATTTCTCCTTTCCTTCAACAACAGTTCTCGTTCTTTGGCAATGTCAGTCTTCATCTCTTTCATCTCTTCTTTTTCTTCACTCATGATTCCCTTTGCACGTTCGAGCTCTTCTTGCTTCTTCTTCAGATTCCTCATCAGACTCTCCACTTTTGCTCTTTCACTCTGTAATTCCTTTTTCATGATTTCCACTTCTTTTGTTTGTCTTCTGAGGCCATCTTCCTTGACTTTTTCTTCATTATGTGTTAAGAAAATCTTGCTAAAAATGTCTTCAAGTCTTTCTTTTTCCATTTGAACCTGAAGGATACAATTTCTAATCTTGGCTTTTTCGTCATTTGTCTCATGTAACAGCCTGTTTACATGTTCCATCTTATTGAGCAGTTCAAGCTTTATGGTTTCCATTGAGTCTCGTTCTTCTTTTATATTTTGTTTCTTTTCTTCCAATATTTCAAATTGTTTCTTGATGTCAGACATCAACACCTTCAAATCCATTTTCTCTTTATTCAGAACCTCACTTTCTCTCTCCAGATCTTCTCTGTCGTGTCTCAGATCTTCTTTCACTTTATCAAGCTCTCGTTTGTCCAGTTCAAACTGCTGCTTCCATTCATTTTCTGTGCATTCTCTCTTGGTGACCATTTCTGAAAGGATACTTCTCACACCTTCCTTTTCTCTCTCTAACATTTCAGTGAAACAGCGAATGCTTTCTTTCAGTTCGTCTTGGGTTGGAAGTTTTTCTTCCAACACTGTTTGCAGCCTTGACCTGTTGTCAACATTTTGTAGTAATCTCTCCATTTTGGCTTTTATATCCTCCTTCAGTTGTTGAAGTTTCACTTTCAGAATCTCTAGCAATTTCATTTCATCCATGACTTGGTCTCCTCTCATTTCCATCTCAGACCGCTCTTCTTCCATATTTCTCCTTTCCTTCAACAACACTTCTCGTTCTTTGGCAATGTCAGTCTTCATCTCTTTCATCTCTTCTTTTTCTTCACTCATCATTTCCTTTGCACGTTCAAGCTCTTCTTGCTTCTTCTTCAGATTCCTCATCAGACTCTCCACTTTTGCTCTTTCACTCTGTAATTCCTTTTTCATGATTTCCACTTCTTTTGTTTGTCTTCTGAGGTCATCTTCCTTGACTTTTTCTTTATTATGTGTTAAGAAAATCTTGCTTAAAATGTCTTCAAGTCTTTCTTTTTCCGTTTGAACCTGAAGGATACAATTTCTAATCTTGGCTTTTTCGTCATTTGTCTCATGTAACAGCCTGTTTACATGTTCCATCTTATTGAGCAGTTCAAGCTTTATGGTTTCCATTGAGTCTCGTTCTTCTTTTATATTTTGTTTCTTTTCTTCCAATATTTCAAATTGTTTCTTGATGTCAGACATCAACACCTTCAAATCCATTTTCTCTTTATTCAACACCTCACTTTCTCTCTCCAGATCTTCTCTGTCATGTTTCAGATCTTCTTTCACTTTATCAAGTTCTCGTTTGTCCAGTTCAAACTGCTTCTTCCATTCATTTTCTGTGCATTCTCTCTTGGTGACCATGTCTGAAAGGATACTTCTCACACCTTCCTTTTCTCTCTCTAACATTTCAGTGAAACAGCGAATGCTTTCTTTCAGTTCGTCTTGGGTTGGAAGTTTTTCTTCCAACACTGTTTGCAGCCTTGACCTGTTGTCAACATTTTGTAGTAATCTCTCCATTTTGGCTTTTATATCCTCCTTCAGTTGTTGAAGTTTCACTTTCAGAATCTCTAGCAATTTCATTTCATCCATGACTTGGTCTCCTCTCATTTCCATCTCAGACCGCTCTTCTTCCATATTTCTCCTTTCCTTCAACAACACTTCTCGTTCTTTGGCAATGTCAGTCTTCATCTCTTTCATCTCTTCTTTTTCTTCACTCATTTCCTTTGCACGTTCAAGCTCTTCTTGCTTCTCCTTCAGATTCCTCATCAGACTCTCCACTTTTGCTCTTTCACTCTGTAATTCCTTTTTCATGATTTCCACTTCTTTGTTTGTCTTCTGAGGCCATCTTCCTTGACTTTTTCTTCATTATGTGTTAAGAAAATCTTGCTAAAAATGTCTTCAAGTCTTTCTTTTTCCATTTGAACCTGAAGGATACAATTTTAATCTTGGCTTTTTCGTCATTTGTCTCATGTAACAGCCTGTTTACATGTTCCATCTTATTGAGCAGTTCAAGCTTTATGGTTTCCATTGAGTCTCGTTCTTCTTTTATATTTTGTTTCTTTTCTTCCAATATTTCAAATTGTTTCTTGATGTCAGACATCAACACCTTCAAATCCATTTTCTCTTTATTCAACACCTCACTTTCTCTCTCCAGATCTTCTCTGTCATGTTTCAGATCTTCTTTCACTTTATCAAGTTCTCGTTTGTCCAGTTCAAACTGCTTCTTCCATTCATTTTCTGTGCATTCTCTCTTGGTGACCATGTCTGAAAGGATACTTCTCACACCTTCCTTTTCTCTCTCTAACATTTCAGTGAAACAGCGAATGCTTTCTTTCAGTTCGTCTTGGGTTGGAAGTTTTTCTTCCAACACTGTTTGCAGCCTTGACCTGTTGTCAACATTTTGTAGTAATCTCTCCATTTTGGCTTTTATATCCTCCTTCAGTTGTTGAAGTTTCACTTTCAGAATCTCTAGCAATTTCATTTCATCCATGACTTGGTCTCCTCTCATTTCCATCTCAGACCGCTCTTCTTCCATATTTCTCCTTTCCTTCAACAACAGTTCTCGTTCTTTGGCAATGTCAGTCTTCATCTCTTTCATCTCTTCTTTTTCTTCACTCATGATTTCCTTTGCACCTTCAGCTCTTCTTGCTTCTTCTTCAGATTCCTCATCAGACTCTCCACTTTTGCTCTTTCACTCTGTAATTCCTTTTTCATGATTTCCACTCTTTTGTTTGTCTTCTGAGGTCATCTTCCTTGACTTTTTCTTCATTATGTGTTAAGAAAATCTTGCTTAAAATGTCTTCAAGTCTTTCTTTTTCCGTTTGAACCTGAAGGATACAATTTTTAATCTTGGCTTTTTCGTCATTTGTCTCATGTAACAGCCTGTTTACATGTTCCATCTTATTGAGAGTTCAAGCTTTATGGTTTCCATTGAGTCTCGTTCTTCTTTTATATTTTGTTTCTTTTCTTCCAATATTTCAAATTGTTTCTTGATGTCAGACATCAACACCTTCAAATCCATTTTCTCTTTATTCAACACCTCACTTTCTCTCTCCAGATCTTCTCTGTCGTGTCTCAGATCTTCTTTCACTTTATCAAGCTCTCGTTTGTCCAGTTCAAACTGCTGCTTCCATTCATTTTCTGTGCTTTCTCTCTTGGTGACCATTTCTGAAAGGATACTTCTCACACCTTCCTTTTCTCTCTCTAACATTTCAGTGAAACAGCGAATGCTTTCTTTCAGTTCGTCTTGGGTTGGAAGTTTTTCTTCCAACACTGTTTGCAGCCTTGACCTGTTGTCAACATTTTGTAGTAATCTCTCCATTTTGGCTTTTATATCCTCCTTCAGTTGTTGAAGTTTCACTTTCAGAATCTCTAGCAATTTCATTTCATCCATGACTTGGTCTCCTCTCATTTCCATCTCAGACCGCTCTTCTTCCATATTTCTCCTTTCCTTCAACAACACTTCTCGTTCTTTGGCAATGTCAGTCTTCATCTCTTTCATCTCTTCTTTTTCTTCACTCATCATTCCTTTGCACGTTCAAGCTCTTCTTGCTTCTCTTCAGATTCCTCATCAGACTCTCCACTTTTGCTCTTTCACTCTGTAATTCCTTTTTCATGATTTCCACTTCTTTTGTTTGTCTTCTGAGGCCATCTTCCTTGACTTTTTCTTTATTATGTGTTAAGAAAATCTTGCTTAAAATGTCTTCAAGTCTTTCTTTTTCCGTTTGAACCTGAAGGATACAATTTCTAATCTTGGCTTTTTCGTCATTTGTCTCATGTAACAGCCTGTTTACATGTTCCATCTTATTGAGCAGTTCAAGCTTTATGGTTTCCATTGAGTCTCGTTCTTCTTTTATATTTTGTTTCTTTTCTTCCAATATTTCAAATTGTTTCTTGATGTCAGACATCAACACCTTCAAATCCATTTTCTCTTTATTCAACACCTCACTTTCTCTCTCCAGATCTTCTCTGTCATGTTTCAGATCTTCTTTCACTTTATCAAGTTCTCGTTTGTCCAGTTCAAACTGCTTCTTCCATTCATTTTCTGTGCATTCTCTCTTGGTGACCATGTCTGAAAGGATACTTCTCACACCTTCCTTTTCTCTCTCTAACATTTCAGTGAAACAGCAAATGCTTTCTTTCAGTTCGTCTTGGGTTGGAAGTTTTTCTTCCAACACTGTTTGCAGCCTTGACCTGTTGTCAACATTTTGTAGTAATCTCTCCATTTTGGCTTTTATATCCTCCTTCAGTTGTTGAAGTTTCACTTTCAGAATCTCTAGCAATTTCATTTCATCCATGACTTGGTCTCCTCTCATTTCCATCTCAGACCGCTCTTCTTCCATATTTCTCCTTTCCTTCAACAACGTTCTCGTTCTTTGGCAATGTCAGTCTTCATCTCTTTCATCTCTTCTTTTTCTTCACTCATGATTCCCTTTGCACGTTCGAGCTCTTCTTGCTTCTTCTTCAGATTCCTCATCAGACTCTCCACTTTTGCTCTTTCACTCTGTAATTCCTTTTTCATGATTTCCACTTCTTTTGTTTGTCTTCTGAGGTCATCTTCCTTGACTTTTTCTTCATTATGTGTTAAGAAAATCTTGCTTAAAATGTCTTCAAGTCTTTCTTTTTCCATTTGAACCTGAAGGATACAATTTTTAATCTTGGCTTTTTCGTCATTTGTCTCATGTAACAGCCTGTTTACATGTTCCATCTTATTGAGCAGTTCAAGCTTTATGGTTTCCATTGAGTCTCGTTCTTCTTTTATATTTTGTTTCTTTTCTTCCAATATTTCAAATTGTTTCTTGATGTCAGACATCAACACCTTCAAATCCATTTTCTCTTTATTCAACACCTCACTTTCTCTCTCCAGATCTTCTCTGTCATGTTCAGATCTTCTTTCACTTATCAAGTTCTCGTTTGTCCAGTTCAAACTGCTGCTTCCATTCATTTTCTGTGCTTCTCTCTTGGTGACCATGTCTGAAAGGATACTTCTCACACCTTCCTTTTCTCTCTCTAACATTTCAGTGAAACAGCGAATGCTTTCTTTCAGTTCGTCTTGGGTTGGAAGTTTTTCTTCCAACACTGTTTGCAGCCTTGACCTGTTGTCAACATTTTGTAGTAATCTCTCCATTTTGGCTTTTATATCCTCCTTCAGTTGTTGAAGTTTCACTTTCAGAATCTCTAGCAATTTCATTTCATCCATGACTTGGTCTCCTCTCATTTCCATCTCAGACCGCTCTTCTTCCATATTTCTCCTTTCCTTCAACAACACTTCTCGTTCTTTGGCAATGTCAGTCTTCATCTCTTTCATCTCTTCTTTTTCTTCACTCATGATTCCTTTTGCATGTTCAAGCTCTTCTTGCTTCTTCTTCAGATTCCTCATCAGGCTCTCCACTTTTGCTCTTTCACTCTGTAATTCCTTTTTCATGATTTCCACTTCTTTTGTTTGTCTTCTGAGGTCATCTTCCTTGACTTTTTCTTCATTATGTGTTAAGAAAATCTTGCTTAAAATGTCTTCAAGTCTTTCTTTTTCCGTTTGAACCTGAAGGATACAATTTTTAATCTTGGCTTTTTCGTCATTTGTCTCATGTAACAGCCTGTTTACATGTTCCATCTTATTGAGCAGTTCAAGCTTTATGGTTTCCATTGAGTCTCGTTCTTCTTTTATATTTTGTTTCTTTTCTTCCAATATTTCAAATTGTTTCTTGATGTCAGACATCAACACCTTCAAATCCATTTTCTCTTTATTCAGCACCTCACTTTCTCTCTCCAGATCTTCTCTGTCGTGTCTCAGATCTTCTTTCACTTTATCAAGCTCTCGTTTGTCCAGTTCAAACTGCTGCTTCCATTCATTTTCTGTGCATTCTCTCTTGGTGACCATTTCTGAAAGGATACTTCTCACACCTTCCTTTTCTCTCTCTAACATTTCAGTGAAACAGCGAATGCTTTCTTTCAGTTTGTCTTGGGTTGGAAGTTTTTCTTCCAACACTGTTTGCAGCCTTGACCTGTTGTCAACATTTTGTAGTAATCTCTCCATTTTGGCTTTTATATCCTCCTTCAGTTGTTGAAGTTTCACTTTCAGAATCTCTAGCAATTTCATTTCATCCATGACTTGGTCTCCTCTCATTTCCATCTCAGACCGCTCTTCTTCCATATTTCTCCTTTCCTTCAACAACAGTTCTCGTTCTTTGGCAATGTCAGTCTTCATCTCTTTCATCTCTTCTTTTTCTTCACTCATGATTCCCTTTGCACGTTCGAGCTCTTCTTGCTTCTTCTTCAGATTCCTCATCAGACTCTCCACTTTTGCTCTTTCACTCTGTAATTCCTTTTTCATGATTTCCACTTCTTTTGTTTGTCTTCTGAGGTCATCTTCCTTGACTTTTTCTTCATTATGTGTTAAGAAAATCTTGCTTAAAATGTCTTCAAGTCTTTCTTTTTCCGTTTGAACCTGAAGGATACAATTTTTAATCTTGGCTTTTTCGTCATTTGTCTCATGTAACAGCCTGTTTACATGTTCCATCTTATTGAGCAGTTCAAGCTTTATGGTTTCCATTGAGTCTCGTTCTTCTTTTATATTTTGTTTCTTTTCTTCCAATATTTCAAATTGTTTCTTGATGTCAGACATCAACACCTTCAAATCCATTTTCTCTTTATTCAGCACCTCACTTTCTCTCTCCAGATCTTCTCTGTCGTGTCTCAGATCTTCTTTCACTTCATCAAGCTCTCGTTTGTCCAGTTCAAACTGCTGCTTCCATTCATTTTCTGTGCTTTCTCTCTTGGTGACCATTTCTGAAAGGATACTTCTCACACCTTCCTTTTCTCTCTCTAACATTTCAGTGAAACAGCGAATGCTTTCTTTCAGTTCGTCTTGGGTTGGAAGTTTTTCTTCCAACACTGTTTGCAGCCTTGACCTGTTGTCAACATTTTGTAGTAATCTCTCCATTTTGGCTTTTATATCCTCCTTCAGTTGTTGAAGTTTCACTTTCAGAATCTCTAGCAATTTCATTTCATCCATGACTTGGTCTCCTCTCATTTCCATCTCAGACCGCTCTTCTTCCATATTTCTCCTTTCCTTCAACAACAGTTCTCGTTCTTTGGCAATGTCAGTCTTCATCTCTTTCATCTCTTCTTTTTCTTCACTCATGATTTCCACTTCTTTTGTTTTTTTTTTTTTTTTTTTTTTTTTTTTCATGATTTCCACTTCTTTTGTTTGTCTTCTGAGGTCATCTTCCTTGACTTTTTCTTCATTATGTGTTAAGAAAATCTTGCTTAAAATGTCTTCAAGTCTTTCTTTTTCCATTTGAACCTGAAGGATACAATTTCTAATCTTGGCTTTTTCGTCATTTGTCTCATGTAACAGCCTGTTTACATGTTCCATCTTATTGAGCAGTTCAAGCTTTATGGTTTCCATTGAGTCTCGTTCTTCTTTTATATTTTGTTTCTTTTCTTCCAATATTTCAAATTGTTTCTTGATGTCAGACATCAACACCTTCAAATCCATTTTCTCTTTATTCAACACCTCACTTTCTCTCTCCAGATCTTCTCTGTCATGTTTCAGATCTTCTTTCACTTTATCAAGTTCTCGTTTGTCCAGTTCAAACTGCTTCTTCCATTCATTTTCTGTGCATTCTCTCTTGGTGACCATGTCTGAAAGGATACTTCTCACACCTTCCTTTTCTCTCTCTAACATTTCAGTGAAACAGCGAATGCTTTCTTTCAGTTCGTCTTGGGTTGGAAGTTTTTCTTCCAACACTGTTTGCAGCCTTGACCTGTTGTCAAAATTTTGTAGTAATCTCTCCATTTTGGCTTTTATATCCTCCTTCAGTTGTTGAAGTTTCACTTTCAGAATCTCTAGCAATTTCATTTCATCCATGACTTGGTCTCCTCTCATTTCCATCTCAGACCGCTCTTCTTCCATATTTCTCCTTTCCTTCAACAACACTTCTCGTTCTTTGGCAATGTCAGTCTTCATCTCTTTCATCTCTTCTTTTTCTTCACTCATGATTTCCACTTCTTTTGTTTGTCTTCTGAGGTCATCTTCCTTGACTTTTTCTTCATTATGTGTTAAGAAAATCTTGCTTAAAATGTCTTCAAGTCTTTCTTTTTCCATTTGAACCTGAAGGATACAATTTTTAATCTTGGCTTTTTCGTCATTTGTCTCATGTAACAGCCTGTTTACATGTTCCATCTTATTGAGCAGTTCAAGCTTTATGGTTTCCATTGAGTCTCGTTCTTCTTTTATATTTTGTTTCTTTCTTCCAATATTTCAAATTGTTTCTTGATGTCAGACATCAACACCTTCAAATCCATTTTCTCTTTATTCAACACCTCACTTTCTCTCTCCAGATCTTCTCTGTCATGTCTCAGATCTTCTTTCACTTTATCAAGTTCTCGTTTGTCCAGTTCAAACTGCTTCTTCCATTCATTTTCTGTGCATTCTCTCTTGGTGACCATTTCTGAAAGGATACTTCTCACACCTTCCTTTTCTCTCTCTAACATTTCAGTGAAACAGCGAATGCTTTCGTTCAGTTTGTCTTGGGTTGGAAGTTTTTCTTCCAACACTGTTTGCAGCCTTGACCTGTTGTCAACATTTTGTAGTAATCTCTCCATTTTGGCTTTTATATCCCCCTTCAGTTGTTGAAGTTTCACTTTCAGAATCTCTAGCGATTTCATTTCATCCATGACTTGGTCTCCTCTCATTTCCATCTCTTTCTCTTCATCTTTGATGTTTCTCCTTACCTTCAACAACAGTTCTTTTCTATTCTCACGTCTAGTTTTCATCTGGATGACTTTTTCTTTTTCCTGGTTACATTTTTTGATCTCTTTTTTTATCAAGTCTTGTTTTGTGTCTTGTAAGATCACCCTTTTTATACCATCCTTAGTCGTTTCTCTTTTATATTCTTTCTTTACAGTCAGATACTCAGTACTGTGTTTTTCTTTTTGTTTGCCCCAAAACATTTTATTGAAATCTTTCAGTTTCATTTTTTTTTCAGTTTCTTTTATTTCAGTTGTTTTCCTTTCCTCTTTTATGTTGTCATTTTTTTGTTTTAATATGTCTATTTCTTTTTTGATTTTACAGCCTCTCATGTCAAGTTTCTGGTTCTTTTTCAACAACTCTTTCACTCTTTCAAGATCCTCTTTGTCTTGACTCTCGTCTGCACTCAAGTCATCCAAGGCATCTTTTTCTATCTCATATATTTTTTTCCTTTCATTTTCATGCTTTCCTTGCTCCGTCTTGATTTTTGTCTCCACTTGTTCCCCATGTTTTGGCTCTTGTTGTATGTTTTTTAATGCACACCGTATAGTTTCCTTTTGCCTATTTAATTCACTTTTAATATTCAGTGTTTCTTTCCTTTTGGTCATGTAGAAATTTTTTTGGTCTTGCATGTATTTATTTTCATTCTGAATTATTCCAATGATGAATTGAGTGTTTTTAATTACCTTTTTATATTCCCCTAAGTATTTCTTGATTAGTTCCCATTGTTTTTGAATTTGTTTCCTTTTTTCTTTCATCCTCATGTCTTCAATTTCACTTTGCATCCCTTTCTTTTCTTTTTGCAACTTCTGCTTTATTTCTTGTTCACCTTGATGTTTGATGATCTCCTCTCGTCGTTGTTCAACCTCCTTTTTCTGCTTTGTTTCTCTCACGAGGGCAGTTCTTTCTTCTTTGAAAGTAGCCCATATTCTTTTTATCTTCTGTTCTTTTTGAATGCTTCTTTTGATTACACGTTGGTTTTCTCTTTTCTTCATCTCCAGCTCAACCACCAGAACTTCTATCTCTTGTCTTTCCCTTTTAATATTTTCTAGTCTCATATCAAGCTTCTGTTTTTCTCTTTGGATTTTTTCCCAGATGTTGATTGTTTCATCCATCTCTGCAGTGTCTTGTATGGTAACTCTTCCAAAGAGTATATTAAGCTGATATTTTAACCTCTTCATTTTGTTTGTTATATTCTTATTTTCAGCCTCAACTTCTCTGAATCCTTTTCTGTCCTTTTCTAAATGAGCATTCACATTTTCTAGAATTTTCATCTCTGTCCTAATTGTTCCCATGTGTAAATTAAACTTGTCTCTTATGTCTTGGATGTAAATAGTATACTGAGAAACTTTTAAGCTGTGGTTTTTGATTTTCTCCATTAACATTTTCACATCTTTCCTTCCAAAATGTTTTTCATGTTCATTGGGTAGATGGATGAACAGATTATGGTCTCTCTGCTTCTCCTCAGCCAGCTCTTCCATCTGTCGTTTCAATTTTACCCTTAACACTTCTAGTTCATCCCTTTTTCTCATAGTCATCTCCAGTCTTTGGTCTAATTCTCTTCTTTTCTTTTTGATCTCGGTCCTCAATGCTTCCTTTTCTTGTTGTATTTCATACCACATTATTTCAATTTCCTCCTTTTTTCTCATACTTTTTCTAAAAAAACGCTCAAATTCTTTTACCTTTATTTTCAATTCTGATTGCAGCAGCTCCATTTCTCTTATTTGCCTTTTGGTCATGTGTACTCCGTCATCAAGCTCCTGTTCTTTTCTTTCAGTTTTCTCCCTCAAATGGTTCACCTGTTCCTCCTGTATTTCTGTTTCAGTTAGCTGTTTAACCATTTTCTCATTCTTTATCGCTGTTTGGATCTGTTCTGTCATCTCAGTCTCTTCTCTCTTGATTATTTGTTTTACATTCTCACTAACTGATTTTTTATTTTTTTGACCCAGACTGTCTAATGAAAGTTTTACCTCCTCCAGTTTCTCATTAACTTGTTTGAGGCTTTCTGTTCCCTCAGTTTCTTTGTCCATTTTGTTTTTTGTCAGTTTATCTCTTTTATTGTCCATTGTCTTCTTAATTTCAGTCTTGAAAATTTCAAGAGCAGTTCTTTGCTTAGGTGTACTACCATGTTCCATGTCTGGTTTTGCGCCTTTTGTCAAGTTAAGGTTAATGCAGTCAAGGTCTTTAAACTGTCTTAGTTTTATTTCAGTCTCCTTCATACTAATTTCTATCTCTTCAATTTTCCTTCTGGTCTTAGCAGCTATTTTCTCGACTGTGCTCTTAACTTTTGCCATTTTTTCTAAATTCTGCCGAATCAGTTCAGTTTGCCTCTGCATTTTTATTTTAAAGATGTCTAATCCATCTCTCTCTTTCAAAGTATTTTCTAACCTTTGATCTAATTCTCTTCTCTTCTTTTTCACTGCAGTTTTCATTGATTTTATATTGCTCATTTCTTCTGTCATATGTACTTCACTTTGCTTTATTTTGGTTTTTACAATTTCCAAAAACTCTTGAAACTGTTTGATGTCTTTTAGCAATCCTTCAATTTCACTGCCTTCATTCTGTTGATATTTGTCCATGTTATTTTTTTCCGCTAGGTTCTCAAGTCCTCCTCTTAGCGTTCTTATAATCTCTTGTGTTTTGTAAATCTCTGCCCTGAGTCTTTGTATATCGGCTCCTCTGTCCTTTTTATCTTCATCGGTGTGTTCAACATGTTTTTTCATCTCTTCTCCTGATTTCTGAATTAGTTTTTGCTTGTTAACATTAAGTCTTATCAAGCTAGACTCTTGTTTTATTTTTTTGGCATCGTCCCCCTCTTGTACTTCATATTTTATTATTTCATTTTTGAAAACTTTGGTGTTCAGCATCAAAATCTTTCTCTGTTCAGTTTCTTCCAACAGCTTAGTTAATACTTCCTGGGCATTTTCAGTTTCCCCGACTGTAATTACAGTGTCTGCCCTCTGCAGGTCATTTATTTCCAAAATGAGCCTTTTTATATCTTGAGTTTTTTCATTCATGTTATCAATAGTGTACTTTATTTGTTCCTTTATTTCCCCCTCTTGCTGCTTTAGGTTACGTATCAGTTTTTCCACTTCTTCCCTTTCTCTTACAATTATCAGTAATTCAGTTTTATCATGCACTACTTCTTCATGAATTTCAGTTCGCATCTGTAAGCAAAAGTCCTGCTCCCCATTTTTGCCTTCTGCAAAACAATATTTGGATTCAAAATGCTCCTTCTGTTGTTCTTTTATTTTTTTATTTTGATGCTGATCATCTAATGTTACAGAATTTTGTAATGATGTTGTATCTGTTATACTTTTTTTCCCTTTTTTGTCCTTTGGAATTGCTGATGTTTGATCCTCAAGGGAGTCTGTGTCTATTTCATACTGTGATTCTTGAAGTTTGGATGCGTTCACTGAAAAAGTATGTTTGATTGTAGATTGTGCCGATATCCATTTGTTGACCCAAGTTTTCATGGATGTCAGTTTTTCCTTCACAAAAACAGAAAAAAAGAGCTTTTTTTGTTTTTGATGACACCAAGACAACAATAAAGATCTTCTTAAAACATCTATGTTTTAATTTTTTGTTTCACATTTATGGATCTTACTAGGGTTGGGCCATATGTAAAAATTTTCCAACCGACAATTGTCAGTCCAATAATCGACGATGGGCGATATATTCGCGCATACGCAGACTTGTTGATTGGCAGAGCAATGTAGCCATGCATGGAGTGATTTGCACATTTACAACACAGATGAAGTCCAAACATGGACGAACTAATTTCCCCAAAAAATTAGGGCTGTCAACATTTATGCGGTCATCACGATTAACCCATCTGGAGTGCAGAATGAATAAACTTTGGACAAACTGCTCGAAATGCGTTGAGAGAGACATTTAAGGGATTTTGACTCAGTCTGCGATCCAGATGGGTTAATTGTTAAACGTGTTAGTCGTGATGGTGGCACTTTAACGTTGACAGCACTAAAGAAATATAAAGTTGCCAAGTTGGGATTTCTTTGGCTTTAAACCAGATGAAAATAGTAAACCTAAGGATGTAACCAAAACGGTCTGCCCCTTGTGCAGATGTATAAGTATAAGTACTCAAACACGACTAACTTGCATGAGCATGTACGTGTCCACCATCTGGCTGAATCAGAATCAGAATCAGAATCAGAATACTTTATTGATCCCTGGGGGAAATTATTTATGAGTATGCTAGTGTAGTGAAGCAGATTTTGGGGTAGGATTTTACGTGATGTCCTCGATTGCAGCACTAACATCCACCTTCCCAGCTGATAATTAGCAACCTTATAAGAAACAGCTGCGCTTCACTACCACATGGAGGTATTTGGCAGTCTTTTCCCATCCAAGGTGGCTGAGAGCATTAGGCAGCTTAAGCACTGCAGAGCTCCTCAGGAAAGCTGCTCATTTTAGTATTGCCCTTTAGTAGTGATGGCCAAATGAAGCTTTCCGAAGCACTGAAGCTTGTATTGAAAAACGGTTCATTACTCGAAGCTTTTC